GCCTGGTCCGTTTTAACTGGAGATGCCGGGGATTGAACCTGGGACCTTCTGCATGCCAAGCAGAGGTTCTGCCACTGAGCTACAGCCCCACTTCATGGCTCTCCAGGGTCTCAGACGGAGGCCTTTCCCATCCCCTCCTGCCTGGTCCTTTTAACTGGAGATGCCAGGGATTGAACCTGGGGCCTTCTGCCTGCCAAGCAGATGCTCTGCCACTGAGCCACAGCCCCACTTCATGGCTCTCCAGGGTCTCAGACGGAGGCCTTTCCCATCACCTCCTGCCTGGTCCTTTTAACTTGATACCGGGGATTGAACCTGGGACCTTCTGTGTGTCGAGCAGATGCTCTACCACCGATTCACAAGGCCCTCACCAAACGTGAACATGCATGAAGCTGCCTTATACTGAATTAGATCCTCAATCCATCAAGGTCAGCATTGTCTATTGGCAGAGAACTTTCCCATCGCCTCCTGCCTGGTCCCTTTTAACTGGGGATGCCGGGGATTGAACCTGGGACCTTCTGCACACTGGGCTGTTCTGCCACTGAGCCACAGCCCCTCCCGATAGCTGCATATGATAAAACTTCTGAGCAACCCCCATGCCTAAGATTGCCAGCTCTGGGTGGGGAAATCCCTGTAGATTTGGGGGTGGGGCCTAGGGAGGGGAAGGACCTTCCCCTCCGAAGCAGCCATTTTCTCGGAGGAAACTGATCTCTGTCACCTGAATTCTGGGAGGCCTCCAGGCCCCAGCTGGAGGTTGGCACCCCTCATCTGACCTGATCATCAGTTTAACCATTGGCAATCCTTCACCAAGGGTACATTTGCACTTTCAGTTTTGGCCTTTAAAGGTAAAGGTTCCCTTGCTCGAAAGCCAGTCGAGTCTGACTCTAGGGTTGCGGTGCTCATCTCAGTTTCAAAGCCGAAGAGCCAGCGCTGTCCGAAGACGTTTCCGTGGTCATGTGGCCGGCATGACTAAACACCAAGGCGCACGGAACGCTGTTCCCTTCCCACTGAAGTGGTACCTATTTATCTACTTGCAATTTCTTGCTTTCGAACTGCTAGGTTGGCAGGAGCTGGAACTAGAGACGGGAGCTCACTCTGTCATGCGGCACACTCGGGTCTCGAACTGCTGAACGACTGACCTTCCACAGCCTGCAGTTCAGCGTCTTAACCACTTGAGTCACCGCAGCTCCTTTGGCCTTTAGTCGAGTAATTGTTTTTTTCACCGACACCCTTTTGTTCGCAGGAACACGAAGACGTGTCGGCAAGCACTACCATCGCACCAGAACATAAGAGAACATCAGGGAAGCCAATGCTGGATCAGGACAATGGCCCATCCAGTCCGACACTGTCACACGGTGGCCAAAAATACCAGGGGCCATCAGGAGGTCCAGCAGTGGGGCCAGAACCCCAGAAGCCCTCCCACTGTTGCCCCCTCCCCCCAAGCACCAAGAAGACAGAGCATCCCTTGCCCCAGACTGAGAGTTCCTATCTAGACCTTGTGGCTAACAGCCACTGATGGACCTCTGCTCCAGATGCTAATCCAGTTCCCTTTTGAAGAGGAGGTGAAACAGGAAGTGATGTCACACGCACTTCCCAGCACGCCGAGGGCTCCGAAGCAAAAGCCATCGGGGGAGTAGACGCTCTTTTGCGGAAGACCTGAAGCGGGGATGAAACGCTCCAGTCCTGGACGGAGCCAGCAATGCAGTTAACGGGCCGGAGGATCAAAACGAATGGCCAATTAACAGACAGTTAACTCGATTCCATGGCATGGGCTGGAGTCTAATTGAAGGAGCAGAGAGTTAATTGGCCTTTGTGGCAGACAAAGGAATTAAGCCCTGGCCTTGCGCCTCCTTGGGGTTGGGAAGGGGTCAGCAACGACCCAGGAGCCGGGCATTCAACTGTCCCTTTTCTTTCCAAAGCAAAACCCAGCAGCATCCTGGATCTCCATTGTCTTTCGTGCCTTCCCCTAAGAAATAGGTTTTCACAGGGCTTTTTTTGTAGAAAAAGCCCAGCAGGAACTCATTAGCATAACAGGCCACACCCCTGAAAGCACAGCACATTAGCATATTAGGCCACACCCCATGTCACCAGACGTGTTGTCATCCAGCCACACCCACCTTTTGCTTCTTATTCTGTTTACCTTGTTTGTTGTCAAAACCCAGGGCCTTTTTTTGTAGCAGGAACTCCTTTGCATGTTAGGCCACACACCCCTAATGTAGCCAATCCCAATGAGTTCCTGCTGTTGGGTGTGGCCTATTATGCTAATGAGTTCCTGCTGGGCGTGGCCAACTCGGGAGCCAGCCGGAACTCCGTTCCTGTGCGTTCCTGCCCAAAAAAAGCCCTGAGTTTTCAGATAAGAAAACTGCCGACCGAATTTGTGTTCACTGTGACATTGAAATCCCCCAACATGGTGGTCTTCCTGGCACCCTCCTCCTGCGCCTCCAAAGCAAAGAATGAGTCTTTCCTCCATCTCAGGGTCGCCAACTCCAGCTTGGGAGATTCCTGGAAATTTGGGAGGCAGTGTTGGGGCGGGCGGAGCTTTGGGAGGGGAGAGAATTCGGCAGGGAAGTGACGCCATAGAGCTCAGCCAGTTTGGCGTCGTGGTTAGGAGCGCGGACTCTAATCTGGGAGAACCGGGTTTGATTCCCCGCTCCTCCACATGCAGCTGTTGGTGTGACCTTTGGGTCAGTCACAAGTCCTCTCAGAGCTGTTCTCTCAGGAGCAGTTCTCTCAGAGCTCTCTCAGCCCCACCCACCTCATGGGTTGTCTGTTGAGGGGAGGGGAAGGGAAAGGCGTTTGTAAGCCAGTCTCTGAGACTTCGAATGAAGGGTGGGGTATAAATCCAATCTCCTCCTCCTCTTCCTCCTCCTCCTCCTCTTCTCCAGGCACCACCTGGAGTTTGGTGACCCTATTGGTAAACCTAGGGAGGAGGAGGGGCTTCAAACGAGGACAGGACTTTGGGTCTGCATTTTGGTAATGGTTTGGAACCGCTCGTAATCTTGTGATCGACCCCAGCTTTCTCGCCAGCCTTTTGTGGTTGGCCCTAATCGGTGGCCATTTTGGATTGGCAACCATTATCCAACTGCCACACTGAAAAAGCACTCACAGGGTGAATGAGGCGGAGGGCGCCCGCTGTAGCTGATCAGGAAGAGAACGGCAATCAATGAAGACCGAAGGCGGAGAAAAAAAAGCAACAGTAGAAGGGGTCAAGGCACCACCTGGAGTTTGGTGACCCTATAGGTATACCTAGGGGGGAGGAGGGGATTCAAACGAGGACAGGACTTTGGGTCTGCCGTTTTGGTAACTGTTTGGAACCTCTCGTCATCTTGTGATTGACCACAGCTTTCTCGCCAGCCATTCTGTGGTTGGCCCTAATCGGCGGCCATTTTGGATTGGCGACCATTATCCAACTGCCACATTGAAAAAGTACTCACAGGGTGAACGAGGCAGAGGGTGCCCGCCGTAGCTGATCAGGAAGAGAACGGCAATTAATGAAGACGGAAGGAGGAGAAAAAAGCCTTCTGACACACTTCCGGTGATGTCAGGTTGTGTGGCGTATGCAAATGAGTTATGCTAATGAGCTCCTTCACCTCTTTTTCTACAAAATGACCCCTGAACAGTAGTAATCCTGAGAAATTTAAATAGTGTTTTACGCAAACACTGATCAGCTTAGAGCATCCGTTTCGTTTTTGTTTTGGCAACCACTTTGAACCGTGCAGGAAAATAAAAGGAAATTGTTATGTGCTGATACAGTTTCCCTGCAACATGGGGCTGCCAGAGTATGGGTGAGCTTGGGGAGGAAAACAATAGACGGTCGGGATCCTGGCAGCCACCAATTGGGATGCTATGATTGTGGAAATAGCCTATTGTTGGGAGTGGGTGTGTGATGGGTGTGCCGTTTTATGGGCTTATAAGCAGGGCTTTGGCCCTGCTAGAGTCGTCCTTAGTGAGCTGGACCTTAATGAGCTGATTCACAATAAACTATGAGCTGATCACTGCACATATCTTGAACCCAGCGTATTTCAGAAATGTAGAAAGCCAAAATGCCCACGAATCAGTTGGGAGGTGTAGTGTATTCAAAGCTGCCTTGAATGCATGATATGTTGTGAAACATCTAATTGAAGTGTAATATAAAGCTTCGTCCTGGGCTAGGATCCAAAGCCATCCAATCGTGTTACTAGCCCAGGAAGCACCGAACCAATCACTTTCAAGCAAGCTCCCTGAGCGGGAACATCCGTGATTGGCCCTTATGCGAACAACCTTATTGGTTGGTATTTGTACAGTGGGTGTGGCTACATTAGCCGGGAATGTTTAAAAGCAGGACAGCTGCAATGTAAAGGCTGTTCTGGCTATCAGATGTTGATCCGTGTTGGAGTTGTGTTCGAGTTAAAGAATAAAGTCGTGTTCTTGGTGAATCCCTCTCCGACTGCTTTGTTAAGCGAGTGACTTAACAGGAGGGAACCAGTAAAAATTGTTATGGTATCAGCTTTCAAGAGTCAGCGCTCCCTTCGCCAGAGACCTCCTGTAGACTGTCCCACAGGCCCTAGGAGGAGATCTTGGGAAGTCTCCGAAAACAGAAGCAAACTTCAGAGGGCAAATCACTACGCATTTATTGTTGACAGCCGACACAGAGAAAGTGAAACCTTGGGATGTCGTCTTCCTCTCCTCCAGTTATCCCACCAGCTAGGGAAAAGGTAACAACGCAGGGGTGGTCACGTGCCGCATTACGGAACTGGTTTTGATGGAGAATAAATCCATAGCGGAACAATTAAAAGCCAGATTACCAGCGGCAGATTCGTGATCAGATCTCATGTTCGTTTGCTTCCCCCCCCCAATATAAGAGCTGCGAAGGATCTGTTGGAGGGGGGAGGGCTTTTAATACTCCCCCCCATACCATTTTCCTGATCTAATTTGCCCTCCTGTCCTGAAGACGGCATGGATAACATAGAAGAGTACAGATGAGTCTTCCTGCATATGAAGGTTACATCCGCAAAACATCTTCTCCGGCTGTTCATTTTGCAAACCTAAGGACGTAAGAGAAGCCATGTTGGATCAGGCGGCCCATCCGGTCCAACACTCTGTGTCACACACTGGCCGAAACCCAGGGCCCATTGGGAGGTCCACCAGTGGGACCAGAACTCTAGAAGCCCTCCCACTGTTGTCCCCCCCCAAGCGCCAAGAAGACAGAGCATCACTGCCCCAGACAGAGTGTTCCATCTATTCCTTCTGGCTAATAGCCACTGGTGGACCTCTGCTCCATCAAACCTATCCAATGGACACAGGCCTGTAGCCGGGATGTTGTGGCTTGTGAGGCAATTTTTTTCCTGGTGGGGCTGAAGCTCTCAGTACAGAAAGAAAAGCCGTGAGGTAGGCGGGGCTGAGAGAGCTCTGACAGAAACTGCTCTTTTTCAAGAACAGCTGTGCCAGAACTATGGCTTTCCCAAGGTCACACCAGCAGCTGCATGTGGAGGAGTGGGGAATCAAACCCGGTTCTCCCAGATTAGAGTCCGCGCACTTAACCACTACGCCAAACTGGCTCAGAAAGCTGTTACCAGGAGAGATCTCTAAATTGCAAGCTGTCAACCACTGTAGATGACAGTTCCCAGCTGCTGCAAGTTAATCACTTCTGCCAGCCTAAGCAACAGTTCTGAGAACAAGCCGGCAGGTGGGGGTGATGACTTCTATAGTCAAGAAAACTTAACAGGCAGAAAAACTCTCTGAAAGGAGACCAGTTTCTTGACACAGAATTAGAAGGGGTCCTAGAGGTCACCTACTCCAACCCCCTTGCTCAGTGCGGGAATTAGTCAACTACCGCACCCCACTCGGCTTAAAGAAGCGCATGACATAAAAAATGTTTTAAAATTGTTTTTTAAAACATTTATAGGAGAAATTATTGTGGGGCTGTGCCTTCAAGAAAGGGGGTGGAACCCCCGAAAGCCCCAATGTAGTTAGGGGCCTGAATGAAGACCAAAACAAAATCCCCCTACCCTGCCCTCCCTCTTCATCTTGGCCTGGGAGGAGCTTGTTGTATCCCCAACTCACATCCCAGGCTCACAGCACAATGCAGAAGAGCCGTTTCTCACGGAAAGGGTTCTCTGCAGAAGGTACCGGGGTAACCAGTGGATCTTCTTTGGCATGGGCTTCACAGTAAGCCAACAGGTCAGCGGCTGCCTTGGAAACCTACCAGGAAGAGAGAATACAGGATTCCGAAATCACAGCAAGCGAAGAGAAAGGAAGATGCCACGTTTGGAACCTTGGGGCTTGACTACTGCAAGCCGCAACACGTTGGGCTGCCCTTGGAAGCGGCATAATCATTGCGTCATGCAGACTGCTACATGATAACCAGAGGAACCAGCAGTGGGCCAGCATGTGTTTGTATGGGGGGGGGGGAAGATGTTGCTTGAGAATCTCACCTTCATGCGGTCAATGTTTACTTCCAGTTTCAGCTGCTCCACCGTCTTTCGGGCCTCTGCGATTTTGGCCATGTTGTTAGACATTATCCCTCACCAGGGTAACAGCTCAAACCTGCTGACCGAGGACCAAGAAAGAAAAAGACGGAGAATTAGTTCGGTGGGAAAACTAATCTTTGGATCAAGCTCCTCTGTAGACAATCAGGACCAACACTCCCTCTTCATCTTGTGAGAAAAACTTCTACTTTGTGAGCTACTGGCATTAGCGAGCGAGTGGGCGATTTGGCTACTGCATAAATTAGTTTGCTCTGGAGCCCTCCTTCCTGAGCCGAGACAAAAAATGTGTGAGCCGGAGGCTAAAAAACTGTGAGCTAGCTCACACGAACTCAGCTTAGAGCAGGGGTGTCAAACTCATTTGTTTGACATAGATGAGACCTTGTTGGGTCGTGCCGTGTGTGTCATAAAATGTAATGCCAAGTAGTGGAGATATAAACTTTATAAAGGACACAAACACAAAGGGTTTTTTTTACTTAATATAAAAACATGCTTAAAACATTAGCACTCTTGCAATATTTTGTTTATTTATCAGTGTCTGATAACTCACACCTCTTGCTCTGAATTATTGCATCAAGATGTCTGTGCTGTTGCAATCTTCAGTATACTGTTCAGGTGTGTATCTGTGAGCTGCAAACCTACGATGATGCAGCAGCAGCAGCAGCAGCAGCAGAACTGGAAGAAACAGAAGACAGCCAGTTCCACTGCAGGGCTGATAAACGACCTCCGGGGGGCCTCATCTGGCCCCCGGGCCGCATGTTTGACACCCTTGGCTTAAGAGGGACCATTGGTCAGGACTGGCACGGTTTGGGAAAACACTTCCTTGTGCATAACAAACCTCAACTATCTTCCCCCGCCAATACACACACAAATACATTTGGAACATAATTATCAAGTCCAAGTGTTCCCTGTCCAGCCATGGCTGGCCAGACGCCTGCGGGAAGTTCACCAACATATGAAGATCTTTCATATCAAGTCAGGCCATTGATCAACCTGTTTCGGAATCATCTGCTCGGACAGAAAGGTATTTCCCAGTATACCACCCAAGACGCTTTAGCTGGAGATTGAACCTGGGACTTTCTTCATACCAAGCAAGGGCTCTGCTTCGAAGCATATTTCTTTGCCTAGAGTTCGGTTCTGCTTCAAAGCATGCGTCTTCTCCTGGAATTGAACATGAAGCTGCCGTAAACCAAATCAGACCCTTGGTCCATCAAGGTCAATATTGTCTACTCAGGCCGGCAGCCGCTCCCAGGGGTCTCAGGTGGAGGTCTTTCACGTCAACTGCTACCTGGCCCGTTCAACTGGAGATCCTGGGGACTGAACCTGGGACCTTCTGCATGCCAAGCAGAGGCTCTACCACTAAGCCATGTCCCTCACAACCATACATGAAGCTGCCTTATACTGAACCAGACCATCGGTCCATCAGGGCCTGTATTGTCTACTCAGAATGGCAGCTGCTCTCCAGGGTCACAGGAGGAGGTTTTGCCACTTCACCTGCTGCCTGGTCCTTTTAATTGGAGATGCTGGGGATTGAACCTGGGACCTTCTGCATGCCAAACAGAGGCTCTACTACTGAGTTACAGCCCCACCTCATGGCTCTCCAGGGTCTCAGGCGGAGGTCTTTCACATCACCACCTGCTACCTGGTCCTTTTAATTGGAGATGCTGCCGGGGATTGAACCTGGGACCTTCTGCATGCCAAGCAGATGCTCTACTACTGAGCTACAGTCCCACCTCATGGCTCTCCAGGCTCTCAGGCAGAGGTCTTTCACATCACCACCTGCTACCTGGTCCTTTTGATTGAAAATGCTGCCGGGGATTGAACCTGGGACCTTCTGCATGCCAAGCAGAGGCTCTACTACTGAGCTACAGCCCCACCTCATGGCTCTCCAGGGTCTCAGGCAGAGGTCTTTCACATCACCACCTGCTACCTGGTCCTTTTAATTGGAGATGCTGCCGGGGATTGAACCTGGGACCTTCTGCATGCCAAGCAGATGCTCTTCCACTGGGCCACAGTCCCACCTCATGGCTCTCCAGGCTCTCAGGCAGAGGTCTTTCACATCACCACCTGCTACCTGGTCCTTTTGATTGAAAATGCTGCCGGGGATTGAACCTGGGACCTTCTGCATGCCAAGCAGAGGCTCTACTACTGAGCTACAGCCCCACCTCATGGCTCTCCAGGGTCTCAGGCAGAGGTCTTTCACATCACCACCTGCTACCTGGTCCTTTTGATTGGAGATGCTGCCGGGGATTGAACCTGGGACCTTCTGCATGCCAAGCAGAGGCTCTTCCACTGGGCCACAGTCCCTCCCATATGAAGCTCCCTTTTACCGAGTTCGAACATCGGCCCATCTAGCTCTGCAGAGCTCCTCTACCTCTTTGGGTCTTTTCCAGCAGTCCCTTAGGTGGAGATGGTGGGGATTGAACCCGGAGCCTTCTACATGCTAGGCATATGCTGTACCTCTGGGCCACAGCCTCCTCCTGGGGCAACACGCTCTGTTACGTGAAGGCAACAGCACTGGTCATTGTTTATGCCCAGTGTCTTGTATTCAGCTCCTGCCACTGGACATGGTGGGCCTACTAAGGAGCTAGGGTTTCCCAGCAATATTTGGTGGGCCGCTGTGGCTCAGAGGTTAAGCTGCTGAGCTGCAAACCGGAAGGTCTGTAGTTCGGCAGTTCGACACCCGAGTGCCGCATGACAGAGTGAGCTCCCCTCTCTGGCCCCAGCTCCTGCCAACCTAGCAGTTCAAAAGCAAGAAATTGCAAGTAGATAGGAGGTGGTGGCAGCTACAAGCACAGACAGCTTCAAGAGGGAACTGGATAAACATATGGAGCAGAGGTCCATCAGTGGCTATTAGCCATGAGGTATAGATAGGAACTCTCGGTCTGGGGCAAGGGATGCTCTGTCTTCTTGGTGCTTGGGTGGGGGGCAACAATGGGAGGGCTTCTAGTGTCCTGGCCCCACTGCTGGACCTCCTGATGGCCCTGGTATTTTTGGCTACTGTGTGACAGAGTGTTGGACTTGATGGGCCATTGGCCTGATCCAACATTGGCTTCTCTTATGTTCTTATGTACCGCTTCGGCGGGAAGGTAACAGCGTTCCATGAGCCACAGCATTTAGTCACGCTGGCCACATGACGATGGAGAAGTCTTCGGACAGCGCTGGCTCTTCGGCATGGAAACAGAGATGAGCACTGCCCCCTAAAGTTGGGTTCGACTGGCTTTCAAGCAAGGGAGACCTTTACCTTTAATTTACAAACCCCAGTACCTCCACTTTTGGAAACAGGAGAAGAAGAAGAAGAAGAAGAAGAAGAAGAAGAAGAAGAAGAAGAAGAAGAAGAAGAAGAAGAAGAAGAAGAAGAAGAAGAAGAAGAAGAAGAAGAAGGAGGAGGAGATTGGATTTATACCCCGCCCTTCACTACCCAAAGGTGTCTCAGAGTGGCTTACAAACTCCTTTCCCTTCCCCTCCCCACAACAGACACCCTGTGAGGTGGGTGGGGCTGAGAGAGCTCTTGCCAGAAACTGCTTTTTTTTCAAGAACAGCTCTTATCAGAACTGTGGCTTGCCCAAGGTCATCCAGCCAGGTGCAAGTGGAAGAGTGGGGAATCAAACCCGGTTCTCCCAGATTAGAGTCCGCGCACTTAACCACTACACCAAACTGGCTCTGTTTGGCGGTGTAAGCATTAATAAGGGGGTGAGTTTGGATGAACTCACTTCAAACCTCGTCTCCTGTCATTAACTCACTCGGTAGACTTAAGCAAGCCGCGATTACCTCACCCATCCTCCTGTTTGCAAAGTGGGGCTCAACATACTGGTCAACCTCACAAGGTTGTCGTAAGGTCCACTGAGATAGTTTATGCAGTGGCTGTGTCAATGCTGTGTATTATTAAATTCAGCTCAGCTGAGGGATTTTCCGCATTATTTTCCTTGCTTGTAAGTTCTCGTTTCTCCATGTGTGTGTGTGTGTTCTGTTTCATACATGTGTTGCTCCCCCTAGTGGTCATTTTGGCACTACACTGATTTATCCCCCCCATTATCTTCCTACAACCTTGAAATGCAGGTATTTATGCCGGACATAAACCATGGTAATATTGAATCCACCACTAGAGGGAGCAAAATACATGCGGAACAATGCCCCCCAGAAGAAACAAGGAAAATGGGAATGCAGAAAAGCTACGTTACGTAGCAGCATTTCTCAGTGCCATTTGCCGAAACCTTTCCTCAGAGCTGGTCTCACCTTTTTCTTGGGTACAGAGGAAAAGAGATCTCCAGTTAATAAACTAGAATCTATACCCGGTTACTCAGCTAATGGTTATTTGCCATTGATTGATTGATTGATTGATTGATTGATTGATAATGGTTATTTGCCATTCAACCACCAGTAAGGTGCCAGTAAGGCCCAGGCTAGACCGATCTCGTCAGAGCTCGGAAGCTAAGCAGAATCGGCCCAGGTTAGCACTCGGATTGGAAAACACCGAGGAAGTCCAGCGTCGCAATGCAGAGGCAGGCAATGACAAATTACCTCTGCTCGGCTCTTGCTTTGAAAACGCTATGGGGTCGCCAGAAACCAGTTCTTGATGGCACTTTCCACCACCACCAAGGTATTAGAGGCAGTACAGAAGAGAGAACTGGCACAATTACAACCTTTAAGAACCTCAGAAGAGCCCTGCTGGATCAGACCAGTGAGGGTCCATCTAGTCCAGCATCCTGTCTCACACAGGGGCCAGCCAGTTCCTCTGGAGGGCCAACAACAGGTCACAGAGGCAGAGGCCTTCCCTTGATAAGGACCTCAGAAGAGCCCTGCTGGATCAGACCAGTGAAGGTCCATCTAGTCCAGCATCCTGTCTCACACAGTGGCCAACCAGTTCCTCTGGAGGGCCAGCAACAGGGCAGAGAGGCCGAGGCCTTCCCCTCTGATAAGAACCTCAGAAGAGCCCTGCTGGATCAGACCAGTGGCCCATCTAAGTCCAGCATCCTGTCTCACACAGGAGCCAGCCAGTTCGTCTGGAGGGCCAACAACAAGGCAGAGAGACC